TCTTCAGGCAAGTTTTATAACGTTTCTTCTTTTTTTTTTCTTCAGGCAAGTTAGGGTGTTCTCCTTTTATTTTTTTCAGGCAAGTTTTACAGCATGTTTTCCTTTGATTTCTTCATTCAGGCAAGTTTTACAGCATGTTCTCCTCCTTTTATTTCTTCAGGCAAGTTTTACAGTGTGTTTTTCTTTTATTTCTTCAGGCGTGTTCTTTCTTTTTTTTTTTTTTTCTTCGGGCAGCCAATAAGTTTTACAGTGTGTTCTCTTTTTTTTCTTTCAGGCAACTTATTTTATTTCTTCAGGCAAGTTTTACGGCGTGTTTTTTCTTTTTTTTTTTTCTTCAGGCAAGACAAGGGTGTTATTCTTCGGGGCAACAAAAATTTTATTTCTTTTATTGGAGAAGATTGCCACCGTGGGAAGAAAATTTCTTCAGGTAAGTTTTATAGGGTTTTTTTCTTTTTTTTTTCTTTCTTTTCTTCAGGTGTGTTCTCTTTTATTTCTTCACGACAAGTTTTACAAAATTCTACTTTTTTTTTTTTTTTTTTTTTTTTTTAGGCAAGGGTGTTGTTCTTCGAAACTTATTAAATTTTTTAGATTATTTATTGAGCATTTTTTATTATGCTAGAAGACAAAAATTTTCTACTACCAACGGAATTCCGTCTTCCTTTGAATTTACATGTTGTTCTTTTTTTTTTTTTTTTTTAATTCCTAACTCAGTACTTTTTTTACAATCCACCGTAGGAATTTTAACGAATATTTATCTCCCTCCTACAATATATATTATTTTTATTAATTTTAATTTTATTTTGAATGGATGAATATATAGGAAGAAAAATCCCCAAATATTTATCTATATTTAACATTTAATAAATATTCATGGATGAATTATTAATTTTGTAACAAATATTTATTTCTTCCTATAATATATATTATTTTTATTAATTTTAAGTTTAATTTTATTGTGAATAGATGGATAACAATCAAGTAACAAATATTTATCTTCTTCCTACAATATATATTATTTTAATTAATTTTGGTTTTAATTTTATTTTGAAAAGATGGATAAAATCAATTTTAAAAATAATAATTCCTAATCCAGTATTTTTTATAATTGAATTTTTTTAAAAAAATATTTTATCTATGTTTAATATTTTATAAATTTTCATGAATGAATTATCCAATTTTGTAACAAATATTTATCTTCTTCCTACAATATATAGTATTTTTATTAGTTTTAATTTTAATTTTATTTTGAATATATAAATAACAATCAATTTGTAGAAAGTAACAAATATTTATCTTCTTCCTACAATATATATTTTAAATTTTACAAAGAATATATTTTTACTTATCATAAACTTATCATATATATATTTTTATTTGAATATGAATAATTTATTGAGTTTGTTAAGAGTAAATTAATTTTTGTATTTCATTATTAATTTAATTATAAATATACTTATTAATAATTTTTTTTTTATTTTTTTAGATGGAAATAGAGATATTGTACCACATTCCATTCAAGAACATGATCAAAAAAATATAAATTTGGAGATGAAAAATAATATTGTGGATCAAGGTAATATTATATTAAATATTTTTACTTATCAACGTATATTTATTTAATAGAATTAATATTTATTCGAATATAACTATAATTTATTGATTTTGTTAAAAGCAGTTTTAATGAATCATAATCGTATTTATTTTATAATAATTATATATATTATGTTATATATATTTTTAATCAATTATAAAATTACTATAAAGAAATTATATACATATATATTATATAAATAACAATAAAAAATTAGGTTATATTTGATTATAAATTTTCACATTTCCGCACATTTATCTTTACAATTTTTTTCTACCAAACATATTTAATCAAATATTTATTTGAAAATAACTATAATTTATTTATTTTGTTAAAAGTAATTTTAATTAATATGTTATATATATATTATTTATTCAATTTTAAATTAGTATAAATAAATTATACACATATATATTATATAAATAAATAAAAATTAGGTCGTATTTGATTTTAATTTTTTTTTTATCAATAATATTAAATCAAATATTTATTATTTTTATTTATTTATTTAAAATTAACAATAATAAATGCATTTTAGTTTGAAAATTATAACCGTACATAAATATATATGTGATAAGATTATATATTTTTTAAATAATACTATAAGATAATATATTTTTTTAAACATCTCAAATATGATTTATCGTTCTTTTTACTTGCATATATTTATGTATTATTACAGTTTTGTTGTTATTTTTAGTTGAATGTGTATATATACATATTTCTTTTTATTTACTATTGTATTTATTTATTTATTTGTTAAAATTTGTATTGTATAGATTAATAATATATTATATATATGTTTATAGGTAATTTAATAAATATTTATAAAGATAATAATAGCAAGTCAACTGATATGCATGCAATTAATTCATCAAGACGATGAAGGTACAAACTTAAAATATATACTTCATTTATATATAGTTGTTATTTTACTAATTATAACTATTATTTTTAAGATGATGAAATAATACCATCAACCGTAGAGGAGCATCATCAAGAGGCAAATACAATACAAGTATTGCAGATGTTAAGATTTTTGTTTGATATTTATAAAAATTCTTATTTTCATAAAATTTGTACGAATAGTATATTTTACGAACATTTTGAATAATGATATATATATATATATATATTAGTTTTTTGTTTAAATACTTGCATTTGTTTAATAAATCAATTTATATTTGAATATGAATATAATTTATTGATTTTGTGTAGAGTAATTTTGATGTTGGTGTTTTATTGTTAAGTTTAATTATAAAGATATTTATAAATAAATATTTGTATTCTTATTAGATGAAGATATTGTGCCACATTCGTTGAAGAACATCGCAAAGGGATAGCAAATAATATTATGGATCAAAGTAATAATATATTAAATATATTTATCATATATGCGTTTACAAATAATTTATATATTTACTTTATATAAACTTATCATATTTATTTGTTTTTTATTGTTAGTATCAACTTATATTTATTTAATATAATCAATTTTATTTGAATACTATTTTATTATCTATTTTAATTATAAATATACTTATGAATAAATATTAGTATTCTATTTGTAGATGGAGATATTGTACTACCTTTAGTTGAAGAACATCGCCAAGAACATACAAATTTGAGAATCGAAAATAATATTGTAGATCAAGGTAATAATATATTAAATATATTTATCATTTAACATGCATTTACAAATAATTTATATTTTTGCTTAATATATTGCTAAAAATTAGAATTTAAGATCCAAAAAGTATAAATAAAACAAAATAGATACGTTTTTAATATTTATTAAGTATACAACAATATCAATTAGTATACATATAAACTTAATCTATTTGCTTTATTATACTTATTTTAGTAAGTATAATTTCGTTTTTACACAACTTAATTTATATTACATATTTTATTTCAAATATATAAAGCAAATCATAATTTTTATTATTAGATATTTATTTGAATTTTTAAAATTTATTTTAAATAATATTATTTTCTTAAAAAAAAAAATTCATTGTTATTTATTTTATTATAAAATATTATGATTCTTAAATTTATTAAAATATTTGAAAATAAATGTAAAATTAATAAAAAAAATTCTATAATAATGTATTTTGAAATAAATATTATGGAGTAAATTTTTTTTTTTTTTCTTAATGGCACCGTGCGTAGCATGGATCTTCCCGCTAGTTATGTATATAAATCAATACGAACCTAATACGATTATAAATGAATTGGATTAGAGTTGAATGATTTCACCTATTTAAAATATTCAACCCGACACCGAGACAAATCAAGCCATGGCCAGGTCTAGTCACACGGAATACTTAATTGGTGTTCAAGTTTATTAAAAAAGGAATCAAATCCAGTGCAGGAGATGCTATTAATAATGCTTTTTAGACTCTCTATATCAGTTCTCCACACCTTTCTCCTTCCCTTTTGCCTACATTAATTTAATTATATACTCCTTTTCCAAATTCTATATTTTATTTGATGAACTTTTTTGAAGTAGATTTATTTTTACGAACGAGTTCTTCAGATCACGTGTTTAAAAAAATATCATGTTGTAGCACAAAATCAGTTTAAAATTAAATGTCAACTTACATTCTCACTTCACAAACCAATTATCGTATGTAAATGTCAATTGTGGGAGGTCGCAAAATGGAGAATAACGGTATTTTATTAAATATTAAAGAGTTGAGACACGAAATTTGATGTAGCTTGTTAGATAATGTAAATTCACTCACGCGCAAATGAATAAATGCCATTCACATGCAAGGGGGACAAAAGCTATCAAATGAAACTTGCACGTGGGTGATGATAAGTGGAGGGCGGTGAGACTCAAATTCAACATCTAAGGCTCTGACACATGTTAAGAGTGGATCCAAAATTCCAACTTAAAACCAATTGATTGTAAGCATAGTAGTCCTTCACCCTTTATAAATTATTTTCAATGTGTGATAGATATTTTTTTGACACTCCCTCTTGAGATGATAATTTCAAAAATTTAAACAGATCAATACCCAATATAGACACTACAACTATGATACTGTATTAAATAATGAAAATGATCGTCTAACTTAAAAGCTTAAATAATTAGGAATACACATCATATATTTATCTAAAAACTAAGTCAATCAACATAGCTTGTAATTTATGGTATTTGACAAAAAAATAGATAAAGGACCTATCATCTATGGAGAAGGTTTCAATGGATAAGTAGTTAAAACACCAAATGAATATAAGAATAATAGAACCACACACCACAATATGTATATATATATATATATCTCTATGATGCAGAATGGCGCGAGCCACAGCATTCTTTATTCAAACAGCTACATACTTTTAATTTGCCCCATATATTGATTGGAGCTCACATCCATGCATATATATGTAAGTAATCGTCTCAATTGTCCGGCACGAACACCAGGGCTGTTGGAGACCCTACGACGGCTGCGAAAACCCGCGCTCCATTTACATCTGCACCGGTGGCGGCGATGTAATAGGGCTGCACAGGGATGTCACAGACATCGCTAGAGTCGGATACAATGGAGTAGACATTTTGATCCTGATATCTGGGGGGCTTAGTGATCTTGAACCAGGTTCGGGCAGTGTCGCACCCGGCCTTCCCTTTTTTCCCACCAAGTGTAACTAGCTGCCGGCCGTTATTTTTTGGGTCCGGCGGGGCAAGCTGCCACACAGAGCTATTGATGCAGGGAGGATCATTATTAAACTCAAACTTGACTGTATTGTCTCGACGAATAAAAGGTTCCTGACCGTTGGCTGGTTGGATGTTCACTGAATAGGCACTACGACGAACTGTGTCTACGGCCACCAAATTCCGGCATCTATTGTTGCTTGTGTAGATGGCAATGATGGGGTAATTTCCAATAAAAGTGCGTACATCATAAGGTCCTCCTGATTTGAGCGGCTGGCCAGTTATGTCAAATACTGCATCCGTCAGACTCTGCGTTGCAGCGCGGCCGGGAAAAGAGGTGACGACGAGGAGGAGAAGCCAGGAGAGAGATATGGAGAGTGAGAGAGCCTTAATGGAGAAAAGGTTTTTCTCCATAGCCATAAGTGTTGTTGTTAAGAGAAATGGAAGATTGATTGATGATGATAATAGACGATGGTGTGGTGTGCTTTTATAAGCACTGCCCTGCGCTGTCTTCCCTTGTGATTAGTGTAGTGAAAGCAATTACTACATTGTTCCATAAGAAGAAGAACATCATTTGTTTTTGTGTCACTGTAATTAATGTTAAAAATATCGTTATATTGTATAATTTATTGCACAAATATTATTATATTTATCATCTAAATTTATTACTGTTTTTTTTAAATACCACTTTTTCTATTTTTTTATTTTATTTTAACAAAAAAGTAAAAATTTCTATTTTTATCTCTTAAAACTTGTGTCCGGTCAAACAAACGCACAATTGGATAACGGAGAGAATAATAATTAATATTAAAAAATCTGTGTATAAAACTGAGATAGTGCAAAATTAAGGATTATGAATTTGGGGTATTCTGGTTGTAGAGAATTAAATTACATACAAATTACTCCATCCGTCTATTTTGGGACGTCCAATTACAAAGTAACCATTTCATTAAATACCCTATTTTTTTTCACAAATACCCCTACTTTATATCACATCATTACTTTTATACCAAAAAAGTAAGGGCAAAAATGTCATTTCACAACTTTTATCTACCCACTATAATTAAAATACTATTATTCCTTAATCTCCGCGCCAAAAGTAAATGTATACTTATTTAATGGACATAGGGAGTATTATTGAGAATGGAATTATAGAAAATGAAAAAATGAGAATTAAAAATGAATTATTCTTTTTGCTAAAATAGAAAATTTACTTGATAAGTATATAACAGAAAAATGTTAAAGACAATAAAATGATTGGTAATAAAATGGTGAATAGGTAAAGAGATGTTTCAATAAATAAATATTGATATATTTAGTTGTGGTGTGTTCCTTTTAGTATTTATTAAAGTTATTATTATTATTATTATTAGTCTTTTTCAAAAATATCATATCAAAACATCTAATTTTTACTTTTTATAATGTATTAGAAATTAATTTTATATTCAAAATATTAGGTTAATACTTATTAAATTATATTACATCATACAATTATTCAAATTCAGAATTTTACTATTCGAATTTCGAACTAAATCGAAACCCCCAAACAAACACACCGTTAGTAAATTTTTATTTATTTTCTTTTATTGAATTTTAATTTTGATTTTTATTTGAATAATAACTTACATGCGATGTGTTATAAAATAAAATAATTTATTTTTATAAAAATTTGTAAACATTAAATAGTAAAAATAAAAAGAGAAAAGAAATACAAATACTATAGAAAAATACAACCATAGAATATGTAATAATTTAATTCTATAAGACCTTCTCCAACATTATGGCATTGCAGCTACATATTTGGAGATAAGCTTCTCCAAAGCAACTCCATTTTCATTTCCATTTTTTATGTTTGTTACCGTGCAACATCATTTATGGTGTTTTTTTTTTTTTTTTAATTTATACAAATTATAAATTGGTCCCTACAAGGACCAATATGTAATTTTTTATATTTTAATTGTGTATATTTGTATTTTTTTAATATAAAAAGTTTTTTAAAATAATATATAAAATAGAATATTTAGAGAATATTTTTTTTGGAGTTGAAAATAGAGTTATGTGTTAGAGTTAAATTACTGTAGCAACGATATTTTTAGAATTATGACTGCATAAATGGAGCAGTCGTGATGGAGATGGCGTAACACTCAATTATGTAGTTAAACCAAACATAAGAAATGATATTATATTCATTTATCTGTAAGCAACCATAACTTCAAATTTTCAATCTTTACCCACTTCTGAAATTACAAAAATTAAATAGAGTAGGCTAAGACATTGTTGAATGATTGAAACAAATTAAGCTATTGGTTAATTACCTTTAATTTTAGTAGTATTCATTTCGTGTCATGATTGAATAATGATAATAATAATAACAATAATAATTAGCTATAGCTAATATCTACCCCATAACTTATCACAAAAAAAAAAAAAAAAAAAGGACTTACCACAATAAATCATCTCAAAGTTACTGAATAATGATTCCAGGTTGTTAGTATACTTCGGCCTACGAAATATATTAATCAAATTGAACGTCACACGGAAATGAGTTTTAGACTTTTCTTCTTCCCTTTTTACGTACATTAATTTAATATTTCAAATTTAAATGTGGTAACATAATTTGATGATATTTTCATTTTACAAGTTAATTCATAAATAATAATAATAATAATAATAATAATAATAATAATAATAATAATAAATAAGCTGCTATATTATGACATATATATATATATATATTTGTGAGGATATAAAAATTCACAAAATTAGCTATTACTCTCTTCGTCCCAAACATCGTGTTAGTGTTATGGTAGATATCGAAATTTAGAAGAAATATGATTAGGAAATAATTATCACGAAGATTGAGAGCACAAAATAATAATAATAATAATGCTCCCTCCGTCCCGGTACAAGATTGCCGTTTACTTTTTGCATATAAATTTTTGAATATTAGTATTATAATGAGTTTGTAGTGAAAAAAACTGAAAATACCCATGTTAGTATTACGTCACATAAAAATAATGGCATTTGTGTAATATAGTGTGAGTTGAAAGCGTATTTATTATGTTAGGTATGTAGTACAATTACTAAATTAAGAAATGATAACCTTATTTTTTGGATAGACAAAAATGAAAAATGACCTTTCAATATTACGGAGGGAGGGAGTAAAATTCTTTCACTATAATTTTCTCTCAATTATGTGGACTTTCTCACCAACTTTGTATAGAAGTTGGTTTTATCTTGTATGTTGATTGAGTTGTGAAGAAGATTAAAAAATACCTTTGCACATATATGTACACACACATATATATATATATATATAATTGGCATCTTTGAGGTGATTTATTGAGCTAAGTTGTAGAGTACATATTAGCTATAGATGATTATTGTTATTAAGCAAAATTATATATATCTACCTGTAGTTGAAAAGTCTATATTATTTAAAAATTTTATAGGGTTTATTTGTATTTTAAAAAATATTGTACGAAATCCCTTAAAAATTAATCCAAACTCCTCTATACTTTAAAAAATATTGCACAGAAACTCTAAAAAACAAATTTTGTATAGTATTTTTTAAAACACCAGGAACTTTCAAATGCTGCATATTTTTGGTAGCACATGTGGATAACGAAAGAATTTTACCTTATTATTATTCAACTTTAATAAGAAAATATTATTAAAAATTAATGGTTACTTACTTTTATAGAGAATAAAATTGTATATAAAATAAATAAAATAAAATATATTTATACATAATAAATATAAATAGATTAAATAAGAAATAGAAGTATTTAATATATATGTGAAAGAGATAAAAATAATATATTACATTAGAAAAATTTGGAAATATTTTATATTGAAAAATATAATGCTGAACAAGCTTGAAACGTTCAAATAAACACAGCTAGTGTGGTCGTTTAATTTCTAAGTAATTCTGTAAGGAGTAAAGAAACTTTTATTGGCACAGTGAGTCACCTTTGGGGTTCGAAATAATGGTTGCTTTTTTACTAAATTAAACTACACTAATGAGTGTGAGAGAGTTTACTGAATTGTAACTTGTTTTAATAATCAAATTTGGCCTTATTTATAGATATGATACCAAATAAATAAACTCAAATAATAATCTAAAATAAAATTCATGAAATATAGGAGTGTTCATTTCGCGCAGAGTTTTCTAAATCTACACCGTGTGATTGTTTGGGGGATTGGATTTTCAATCCACTGTTCATCCCAAAAATATATCAAATCAAACGCCTATTTTTCATTTTTTATATTATACTAAAACTCAATTTTACATTCAAAACATAACATCAACACTTATTTATATCACATCAGACTGTTCAAATTCAAAATTTTTACTATTAAAATCCAATCTCACACCCCAAACAAACACACCCTTATAAATTGAAAAATAGGCGCCAAACCAAAGTCTACTAGACAAATTGTGCGATTACAAAAAAACTATTCGAAAAATTATGGATATTTTTGTTTTATGAGATAATTTGAAGGATTATTTTTTTATCTAAAATATAAAAAATTATGTAAAAAATATAAAAATAATGAAAATATAATATATTAATATTTTTGAAAAAATACTTGAAAAAAAAAATTAAAAGAACACACCCAAAATCTTTCTGAATAATGGACCTAAAATATCTCATCAGCGAAGGTTAGATAGCTTAGAATACGAAAGTCGACAGCACAGGACAGGACAACACTTATAAAAGCACACCATTAACAACACAACACAACACCATTAATTCTCCTAACAAGAACGCTACTAATGGCCATGGAGAAGACCTTCTTGTCTATTAGCACTTTCTCATTCTCACTCTCTTTGCTTCTCCTCCTCGTCGGCACCTCCTTTCCAGGCCGCGCCGCTGAGCCAGATAGGACGCAGGATGCAGTGAAGGACATTAATGGTAATATAGTCAAGTCAGGAGAAATATACCTCATGTACACTCCCGATGGCAATTTCCCTATCATCTATAGTACCAACGGTGAAAGTGTATGCCCGTCTTTTGTCGCCGCAGACTTATCTGGTCGTGTCGCCTATCCTCTGAGGATCCACCTAGCAGACCCCGGGGAAACTACTGTTCGTCTCAACACTTCAGTTAGCTTCCAGTTTAATGACACCATTTCCTGTGTCAATAGCACTGTGTGGCAGGTGGCACCGGTGAGCCAAAATGGCAACGTGCAGCGTTTAGTAACACTTAACGGAGCACAAGGCTCGCCAGGGTGCAATACGGCGCTAACCTGGTTCAAGCTCATAAAGGACCCCAGAGACGCCTACAATATTGTGTTCGACTCTAGTGAGGTCTGCAACATCCCCATGCAACGCTATCTCGTCGCCACAGGCACCACTATTGAAAACGAAGCTCAGCTTTTGCAACTTGTCAATACGGCTCCGATACGAGTGTTATTCCAGTCGGCCGATTGAGACTTATACATATGGAGCCTAGTAATGGCAACAATAACACACACACATGTATATGTATGTATGAATAAAGAATATTGAGGCTCGCGTCTTGCTGCTTCTGTAGCTTCACATATATAAAAAGATATACGTATTATTCATTATATGGTCTTTCAACAAACACATAACCTCACCGTTACGAATCCATCCCCACATTCAACAGGCCAATCATATCTTACGGGCCTTGGTACAACAATATTTTGTATATAGAATTCCTATAATCAAATCCCTGTAGTTAAGGAATAACAATATTAGTGTTAATGATCGAATAACAAATAAAAAATATAAAGACGACACATATTTACGTGGTTTACTAACAACATCTTGACTACATCCTCAGGCAGGAATGGAAAACAAATTTTATTACGGCTAGGCTACAAACTACAGATTTTGTATCTCTAAATAAATCAAGAGAATATACCAGACGGGCTCAACCCAATACCAACAAACTATATTAAGGCCTATCAACATAATTCAATAATCCTTAATTATTGAATTTCTTGGAATTACATTATAATCCAAACAAATTTTTTGACGGTTTAAAATTACAATAGATCAATTGACTATTATTTATTGAGCATTGTGTTGATCCTATTTAATTCCTTTAATTTATTAGGGTGATATATGTTAGTTTTAAATTTAGTAGATTTATATTTAGATTCGGTCTTATCCATATATTAGATTACTTAGATTTGAGTCTATTAAGTTTATTTTGTATTGCCTGTATATAGACCGTTATTTAATCAATAAAACAATCTTATTATTTTCTCCCAAAATTTCTAACATGTATCAGAGCCTATTTTTCTCCTGCCGTAGATATAGCCTACCAACCCGAGTTTCTCCGGGTACATTCAACCTGGGATGTATTTTGAAAAATTTTCTATAGTTTTTAGCCCTTTCTTTTTATGATTTTGTATATGATTGAAGTCATGTCTGTGCATCTGTCTGCGATTCTGCGATCCGTCTACTGCGTTTCTTCGGAGCCATATTTCTGATTGCAATGAGAGTCCGGTTATTTCCGACTTTGTGGGGAGTACTCCTGTCGTTTTTTAGTTTTTTACTCCAGAGAGTCATGTCGTTTTCGGCTCCAGTAGAGAGTTGTGTCGTTTTCTAATCCATTGTGAGTTTTGTAATTTTCGACTCTAATTCAGTTGAGAGCATTGTTTCTCACTTTGACACGGTAGAACGGCGACGACAACGGCAGACGGACAAACAAGTGTTATTTTTATTTGTGTCATTTGCATCTATATTCAACTTTTTTATTAGGTTTTTACTATACCACTTGAGTTTGAGGGGCTGTTGAGATATTTTATATATTCAGTTTTAGATTTAGTAGATTTATATTTAGATTCGGTCTTATCCATAGATTATATTACTTGGATTTGACTCTATCGAGTTTATTTTGTATTGCCGGCCCTTATTTTGATAATCAATAAGACAATTTTATTATTTTCCCCCAAAATTTCTAACTATATATATTAACAAGGAATTATTTTTTATACACAAAATTTAATTGAGATGATTTAATGTGATTAGTTGATCGGTACATTTCAGATATAACTCATAATTATTACCATCTTAATATGATTGTTATTAGTCAACAATGATACGAAACAAATACACCTAAAAATGAGGATTAACCAAAAAATTATTTTGTAGTGCATTTATCAATCTCTTAACCTAATAAGTTTAAATTTTGGTTTGGATTTTTCAGATTTTCTATATTGAATCTGATTAACTTTTTTATAAATCTGGATTTTTGAATTAGTTCGGATTGGAATATTAAACAATCCCAACTCCGAAATATAATAATCACTATGTCCACAAAATCTGTCTAATTTTTTTTTTCTACAAAAATATGTATTTTTTCGGAAAATTGTAAAAAACATCTCCTATGTATATCCATTATTACTTTTATACTATATTTATTTTGCTGGTAAAATATATTAATATGTTTGCAAAAGTAGCTATTTCTATCATTTGATCGCAAAAGTTATTATGTCTATCATTTGGCCGCACGTGATGACTTTTGTGAGAGATAAATAAATGATAAAAATTGTAATGGTTTTGCAATTTTCTCTGTACTTTCCATTTATAAGATCTACTCCCCAATCCCACATACACATACGAAGTCTCATCTGTTTCTACCCATCTCATCTCTTTTGTCATTTTCCTTTTTCTTTTAAAAAAAAGATTACACACTTAATCATATTTTAAATTTATAATTTTTTTTTTAACTTTAATTATACTAATTAGTTATGTTAATATTCATTTATAATAATTTTTATTATATTATAATTATTTTTACTAATGTAATTTTAATTATTTACTAATCACATATCTCATTATTTACACATTCTTTAATTTATACTTTTCAATATTCTACTTATTTAACATATATGTAATCAACATCTATACACTCAATTTTTTCTTTTAAAAAAATTCATCTAGTTAATTCATTTGTATATTTTTCAAAATATCTTTAGTTTATGTCACAATCAATTTATATAATACTATATTCATTAAAATTTGTATCTATTTTATAAATATATTATTCTATATATTTGATATTTTATTAAAATTATAATACTTCCTCCATCTTATATACTGTGCAACATTTGCTTTTCAATACCAGAGTTTAAGTGTGTAGTATTAATAGTATAATTTGAAAATTAAGTGATGTAACGAGAGATAAAAGTGTATATTTAATTTTTTATTTGAGTTATGTGATATGATCAAGCGTCGTGTATATAATTAATTGTTTTTTTTTAATTTTTTTATTTTCGAAATATTGCATGGCATGTAGGACAATTCAAAAAGAAAAATATTTCATGGTATATGGGACCGAAGGAAAATTTAAAAACTATCAAATATAAATGTCTCGACAAAACAAAGATAGGATAGCATTAGATAAGACAGTACAATACAAGACAACGCTTATAAAAACACCCCACACCATCATATATTATCCTCAACTTCAATCATAATTCCATTTAATTGTGTCTTAACAAGAAAACTACTAATTGTTATGGCGAAGACCTTTTCCATTAATACTTTCTCACTCTCACTCTCTTTGCTTCTCCTCCTCATCGCCACTTCCTTTCCCGGCGGCGCCGCTGCGCTAGATTATCCGCGGGATGCATTGAGGGACATTAATAATAAGATGATCGTCGCAGGAGCAATCTACCTCATGCACAATACCGACGGCAATTTCCCTGTCTTTTTCACTAACGTGGGCCAAAGTGTATGCCCGTCTTTCGTGGCCGTAGACACATCTGATCGCATAGCCTTTCCACTGAGGATCCTGCTAGCCGACCCCGGGGAAACTTTTGTTCGTCTCAATGTTTCAGTCAGCTTCCAGTTTAAGAACACAGTATACTGCGTCAATAGCTCCGTATGGCAGGTTGCCCTGCCGAGCCAAAACATCAACGGTCAGCGTTTAATAACACTTGGTGGAGAACAAGGCCCGCCCGGCTGCAACACAGTCCAAAACTGGTTCAAGATCAATAGGGACCCCAGAAATGGCTACAATATTGTCTACGATCCTAACGACGTCTGCAACATCCCTGTCCAGCGCTATTCGGTAGCCCCTGGCATCAACATTGTAAATGAAGCTCGGATTTTGCAACTAGTCAATGGACGACCGATGCAAGTAGTTTTCGAGCTGGCCAATTCAAACGATGATTAATTATATATATATATATATATGAATCAAGTGTGTTTGCTTTAAGAGATTAGAGTGAATAATATTATTTTATAAGTGTGTTTGCTTTAAGTGATTAGAGTGAATAATACTATTTTATTCAATATAATTACTTGTTTACTTCTAACTTATTAAAATCCCAAATTGATTAAATTATGCAATTAATATATACATAATTATATTTTAGTTGTTAGCATGTGTGCTGAAATTATAGTTTGAATATATTATTCCCTCATTACACAATTTGAATTTGTATATATTTAGTTTTTCTAACTATAGCCAATATTATTAACTTATGAAAAAGTGTTGAAGATATAAATTCTTTCATTACACTTGCATTTATTTACTGGCTGTTGTTTAGGTGTTAATTTAGAAAAGTCACATTTTTGCATGTAACATCATTCAAATTTTCAGTCAACACTGTTCAATTGTTATAATAGCACAAATTCAAAATTTAAATAATACAAAATATATTTGTATAGGAGCACAATATATATTCTATAGGGCAGTTTTATAGAGCACCACACATACTCTTGTAAAACACCAGACATACTTTTGTGGAGCACTAATTTAAACGACAAACAAATAGCACACAATTTTTATTTCAAAAGCACAATGCTCTCCATTAAAGATTGATACTTTCTGAATGTTTACTCTGTGCTTTATTCTGTGCTTTATGAGAAAATCAGCAAGGTGCTGACATGTAATGCGTCAACACCGTGATCGAATCGTTATTTACTTTACTTGTTGTTCCGTACTCTTCTTTTTTTTTTTTTTTTTTTTTTTTCTGATAGTACTTGGGAGGAAAGACTTCTTGAATAAACTAATTGAACAGTGAGAGGTGGTATATTCTCTTGAATATTTTTTTTACTTCAGTATCCCAATTATTTAAGATAGATTATTTTGTTATGACCACCAAGGATAACATGATATTCGTTTGGACTTCGGATGCCCATTACCTTGTCAAAGGTTGTTTGCTTCGCAAGCTGTCTCCGATGTTGTAATTTATTTGGTTTCTGTCGAAGAAAGTGCAACTAAAAAGAAGATTACATTATAATAATGTAGTGAATGTATTTATGTAGGTGTGTATATATATAGCACACATTCACTATTCCAATAAGCATACTTTCTTCCATATTTGGTGCACCCAACAACTTGGTCCAACACACAGCGTTCTCTCTCTCTCTCTCTCTCTCTCTCTAATGATAGATAGATAAATATAAGTATGATCCATCCAACTACTGGAGTAAGTTAAGCCTGCTGGAAAACAAAGAAAGGAGGGGAGCCATCGATGAGCTCCAAAGACCGCAGGTCCTGGTCAGGTGCATAGATGCTACCGGGGCCGATGGCTCCGGGCTGCACCGGGAACTCGCAGATATCGGTCGGGTTATATTCAATGAAGTATATGTTTGGGCTGTGCTTCCCATATCGGGTGGCCTTTCTGATCTTGAACCAGGTTCGATAGGTGTCGCACCCGGGCTTCCCTTCTTCTCCGCCGATTTTCACTAATTGCTTCTGCCTGCCATTGCAGTCCATTTTTTTGGCATGAACCTGCCAGATGGAAGTATTGGTGCATGGATTGATGTCTGAAAAGCGGATGGTTGTCGGAACTGAGAGACGAACCACAGGTTCCTGTGGATCTGCCGGGTGAAAGATGACTGGTTCGGCGCCATCACAAGAATTGTCTACAACGACATTAACCGGGCAGGACTCCGGGCCCAAGGTGCTTGCTCTGATGCCCTGATTGTCGTAGGCGGTGTATATATGGTAGCGTTTTCCGGCCTCCATCGGCATTCCAAATGTGTCGTGCACTGCATCCGAGGGACCAGATTCTGTGGCGGCAGCTGCAGCACCGGAAAAGGAGGAGGAGACACAGAGGAGGATCCCGATGAGGAAGAAGCTGCTGCTCATGGATCTCATTATCACAGTTAATTATTGTTATTTGTTACCCAAAAAAGAAAGATGGATTGGAATGGAAGATGATGATTATTATTGTTGTTTGTTGTTAAGTATTACGATAAGAGACGATGATTGGGTGTACGTAGTGTGTGTGGTGTTTGTAGCTATTTATAGCCGCTGAGCCTTGTCCTTCTGCATGTCTTTAATAACTCACTATGTCTCGTGGTGTAGGATGTGTTTAAATTTTTTAAGTTTGCAGATCTTGTCTGCCATATATGGCCTGCCTAGTGTGACTTGTCTTGTCAGACTTAATTTGTAGACTATTGGATTCGGTCGGAAGTTACCCAAACATTAAAAAAAAATGTTAGTCACAATGGTTAATTATCACTCAACCCTTGTCTATCGTGTGTCATATGCTGATGGAAAACGAAATATAGCATAACATATGGGTTGAATTAATATTTCACTTAACACATTCAATTTTACATTTATATATATTACATTAAATATTATTTCAACTTAAAATTTTAGTGTTACTAGACTCTATACCCAAATTAAAACTTAAAAGAATGTAAATATATTTGATCCTCAGTTCCCACGTCTGGGGCTTAAGAGTTGAGTAGGGCTCGAGGTTCTTGAAATAAGTAGAGCTGCTCCTCTGTGTTTACTACTAAGTTTATAATATAAACGATTGTACTTAGCAAAATGTATGCTTGGGTTGGTATATTCCTTTCATCCAATGAGTATATAATTTTATATAAGTGTAATATTCTAAACAATATGTCAAATGAACATAGTGCTTATTTTACTCGGTCAAGATAGAACATATTGTATTTTTTATATAACACAACAATATATTGCGTAATATATAGAAGCATGTGCTGTATAAATATAGTTACTATGCTGAAATTAATAATATATTATGTTATATAAAATTATATTATGTGTATCAAAATATATACTTTATATAATATTATGTGATGTCAGATAGGCTCTATAACCAAAGTGTTTAAACACGTGTACATTATTAGACAACTTCAATCAACAATAATTATAATATGAAAATACATCCAAACATACTGTCTCGCTATTCTCAAATCAAATCAATTTCAACCCAACAAAGTTTCTATACACAGTCCCAAAACCAGCCAAACACATCCTCAAGCTCGAAGCATTCCATAATCACTCTTTACAGATATAGAAAATTAAACACATTAGGTTAAAAATTTTGCAAATGCATTAAACAATGAGCTTTTGGTTAATCCTCATTTTTAGTAGTGTTTATTTCGTGTCAACTTTGTCTAGTCATAATCATAATTATAATCATAATTATCTGATGTTTTCTCCAAAACGGACACATCAGCCATTCAAGGTCATTGAATAATCCTTTGCTGTTAGGTAAGAGTCATCAGAAAAGAACTCTTGTTTTATTTTATTTTCTTAGACCATAACCATATGGGTGCGTTTGTTTATAGTTTTGAACTAGACTTGTACTCTATTCCTCTCAACTCAAAGTATATTTTTTGCTATTTTTGTTCATCTCACTCCAAAGTAACTATTTTCTATTTTACTAAAAGTAATCATAAACTAATACACAAATAGCGATAAATTTTATCTAAATTACAAGTATAACATTACACCTACAATTACTTTATATATAAAGAAGTCAAAAATGTCAAAATCTCTTATGCATTTCCACTAACTAATAAAATATTATTATTTTTTAATTTATTTCCGACCACTTTGGAGTGAGACAGAGGAGGGAGTATTATTTATGTAGTGTTCCCTTTGTAAAGTAGCAAGTCAGATATCAATTCTTTTATCTATAACAATTACATCAAAAATTCATACTGGGGATTCAATATATTATTCTCTCCGTCGTGTGAAAAAATATGTTAATTTAGTTTGGGCACGAGTTTTGATATGGCACATATTTTATGGTAAGATATTTCGTGAGAATCTCATGATATCAAGTTTGCAGGATACACCTGTGTGCAAGTTCCTTGGCCCTTCTTTGAGAATGTTATTATTGGCTAGACATAAAACATCAACAAGGCAAAGTAAAGAATCAGCCACCTACGGGACTACTCAAGCAATTACCTATACCAGCGAAGATGTAGGAGAGCATCTCTATAGACTATATCGTTGGATTGCCTAAGTCCATTGGATGTACGAGCATAATAGTATTGGTGGATTGGCTATCAAAATATGCAGAGTTCATACTCGCGCTGAGAAGTGCACAGCTGACAACCATATTCATGGATCATGTCTTTAAGTATTGAGGCTTGCTCAATTCACCGGACGATTTTGGATGGGCTCTTCCAACTATTGTGGTTAGAGTTGAAGATGTTCATGATAATGCATACTTTGATAGATGGTTAGACGGAATGCTTCAATCATGTTGTACAAGTGTATCGCTACCCTTAGATCAATGGTCAGCCAGAACACCTCAATCATGTGCTACAAGTTTATAACATTATATAATAGTAAATCAACTCGATTGGTTTGTCTTACTCAAATATTACACAAATTTTCAAATTTTCGAAGAATAGAAGCATGTGAAAAAGCCGTTCAAGATTTTGTTTGGCTTCCCGTCAATGATGTTGAAATGCTCGGTCCTTTGTAGGCCCTAAACCCTATAGTAAGAGCCTACAAAGGACCGATCATTTCACCTTTTTATTTTGCTAAATGTTTGCAAGATTGTGCAGAAGCATCCCAACTCAAGTTAGAAAAATCTCAAAAAAAGATGAACAAGTGAACCGACCAGAAGTGAATATTCCGAGAATTCAAAAAAGGAAACTTGGTGTGGTGAAAATGTACCAATATAGTTATGTTCGAGGAGTGCACAAAGATCCAATGTACAAATAAGATGGTGCATTCTCGATGTTGAACAAAATTGGAGAGGTGGCGTATAAAATAGAATTACATGAGGCCTTGTCCCGACTTCACCCAGTATTCCATGCAAGCCTACGAAAACCATATCTTAGTGACACCTAGGACTCGAGCCGAAATGAGTCGAAGAGGGCCCCACCTAGCATACAGAACACTTATGACAAAGTAGCTGAAATATTTTGGTTGACAGAGTAATCCGCAACAATAATCGACCACCATCGATGAAGTACCTGATCAAGTGGCGTGGACTACCTGAGCCTGAGACAAGTTGGAAGTCGGCCAAGAACTTATAGCAATTCATTCGAGGATATTAATTATCGGAAACTTTGAGGCATTGAGGCAATGCCTAGCTAGCTCAAGTGGAGGAGAGTATCCCGAATTGAAATCTTGACAGAGAAGCGCCGAGGGGTGAGCCTGGCCGCGGAGGAGTTCTGAAACTCTTCCTAAGGAACTAAAACACTTTGACCAAACCCTTGTCTATTCAATAGAGTTTATCCATTAATAGATAGACTTTGGGCTGTTAAAGGCCATATTCACTGAGTTGGTTGAACCTCGTCTGTTTTCATCTTGCTCGTTGTTTGGTGTTGTGATAACGTTGCTATGCTGTAGTAGTAGAGTTCTAGAGAATGTCAAAGAATTGCTAAATGTTGGCGAGAGAATCGTCTAACCCACTACACTTGAATCTGATTCATTTCTATATAAATTATTTAACATTCCGTGTGACTGCCGATCGACTCCTTAAGTTTCATTGCCAAATTTTGGTGGCAATATAATGCTGAGAAGTTCAATAATTATGGATCTTGTTCCTAAAGAACATACCAACAAAAATTTATCATACCTGACTAACAAAGAAGAATTATTCAGTAACTTTGAGATGGTTGGTTTTTATCTCTTGTTGAGTACATATTATTATTATTATTATTATTATTATCCAACTACGATACGGAATAAATACTACTATAAATTGCGTAGTGATTAATGCAATATATGCAATGGAAGCAGCTTCCTTTGTTTACATATAAACATTTGGAATTTTTACTACTATTCATCAAGATTTTTTTCAGAAATATTATATTAAATATGTTTTTATTAATTTTATTTGATCATTTTCACAAATAGTACACAAAATACAATGCGTCGTTAGCAATAAAAAAAAAAATAGATTATTTCTTTTTAAAAAATATTTAAATATATAATTAATAAAAATAAATATGTTTTGGATTAATGGTAAAAAAAATCTAGAAGCATTTGGTGTTTGAAACTACGGGTTCAAGATCCCAAACTCACCCCACACTGCTACCGCATCCTTTATTATACAACTTTTATTGATTTGCAATATTGTTTACTCTTTTAAAATGTCGTATGGTATCTGACTCAAGTGATTCACATAAATGATCATGAAGTAAAAATGGTTTGTTTGGTTTTGATTTGAAACTATAATGACGATTTGAGTATTGGTTTAGAAAGTATATTTAAAAAATATTTTGTGATAGACAATAATTTAATTTTTATTTGAAATATGTGAGCTGAATAGCGATGAGTAAGTTTGAAATAAAAGTTCACATTATTAAATTAAGATAGTAATAATATATATTATATATAGATAAAAAAATAAAAGTGATAATCAAACCTCCATAGAGAAATAAAATTAAACAATATTAATTTTTGTATATTAATAAATGCTACTTTTGGCTCGATTATTTCAAATGATGTGATGTTCCAATACTTGTTATTGGGCGTGCATGTCACACTGATCCGGCCAAATCAACATGACTCAAATTTAATTGAGTCAAAATATGTCATAAATTAAACAACATTAATTTCCTTATAATAAAATATATGTTGTATTATAAGATATCATGTGTTATCTTATACAACATATGTTGTGTTATAACATATCGGACTACGTTTCGTGCCCTTTTTAAACTTATATACTCCCTAACCATGTGTGGCAGGTGACATGAGGCGTCGGGGGTTTGAACCCATGACCTCACGGTATAAGTCCAATCCCTACACAACCAGGTCATCCCTTGCGGGACGAAATATATGTTATTTACATGTATGGTATGTTGATTCGGTCGTATCAGCATAGATTCGCCCCGCAAAACAATTATATCAATTATACTTTTACAATTTTAAATAACCAATAACAAAATTTTTTATAAATTGTTACATTTGAACTTTTTTATACAAAATTATATCTTTTTATATCACATCAAATATCAATATTTTTTATTAAAACTTTTTTAGTTGACGGCATCTCTTCAAAACTTTAATAATTTTTATCTAAACAAAACCAAGATAATTTGAATTTTTTCATTTAAATGCATTTTCAATTTCAAATTCTTCAAACAAATGGCAGGATTTTAAACAAATATTTTTAAAACTTTTGACACCATTCATCAATGTTCACTATTTAATATATATATATATATCATCACATATATAGTCTTTTACAATATATGGCATCAACTATTAAATTTTTATCATTTCTATATTTTTTTTTAAACTAGAAAATTTGGAACGTCCAACCTCAAGCATATAAAGGGAGAATTCAATCGCTTGAGCTACACTCCCTCCACATATTTATTTGATACTTGAATTGAATACACTATACAAGAATTACTAAAGCTCTGGACCATAAAAACACATCACACCATCCTCTCTTATTATCGTTATCAAACTTCCATTTCTCTGAACAATAACCCTAACATATATATCAATTAGTATGAGGAGAAGACTCTCTTCCCATTAATGCTTTCCTTTTTTTTCTTTGCTTCTCATTTTTATCATCGCCTATTGTTCCTCGGCTGCTTCCGATCCACCCCTATATCCACAAGATGCAGTGGTCGACATATATGGCCAGAGCATCCGACCTTGAAGAAGTTACAATATATCCTCTTTAATCATTAACTGAATTTCTATTCACATTTTCTAATTTTTTTAATAAAATATTTATTTTCCACATTGTCTGCAATGAGGGTAATTTTACAGGACAAATAAAGCATTTTAATTTATGCCTGCAATATTATATTATATTTTTTAAAAAAAAAAAAAAAACTACTAATAACACATTTAATCTATTAGAAAAAAATTCATTTCATTAACTCATTATCTACTTCCCAAAATATATTTACTTTATGTCAAAATCAATTAATATAATATTATATTTATTAAAACTTCGTATTCAATCTAAATAAACATTTATTGGTTAACAAAGGGGGTATTTAAATTTATTTAAAATATTATATAAAAAGCATACTCCCTCCGTTGTATTTGAAAAAAGCTCTTTGATTTTTGCAGTAGATTAAAAAATAATAGTATTTTATTAATTAGCAATTTATCATTTCACTTTATATATAAAGTAATTATATGTGTAATGGTATATATGTTTGTAAATTAAATAAAAATTAAAGCGTATTTTGTTTAGAGTGGGATAAGATAAAAATGATAAAAGAATATTGTTTGAATTGGGACGGACAGGGAGTATTTTTATTAAAATGATCACATCAACTATATATTCAAACCATTTCAAAAACATATAGTATAAAGAAACGTTTGGTGTTTGGATTTAATACAAGATTTTGACATACTAGCCTACACAACAACAAAGGGATGACTTGACAGGGCTTATAAATACTCCACTCTGATCATCATCTTCATCGTCAATCTTCAATTTCTCTTAACAATAACACTAATGGCAGCAATGGCAAAACCCCTATTTTCCACCAACATTCTCTCTCTCTCTCACCTTCTCATCCTTGTTGTCATCTCCTTTTCCGGCCACGTCGCCGCACAAGAATTTCCGCTTGACGGAGTAAGGGACACACGAAATAGTTTTGTCCGGGCAGGACAAAGTTACTACATATACTCTGCCTACAACCGTTACCCAGTCATCTTCACTGCTGTCGGCCCTGAGCCATGCCCAATATACGTGGCCATAAACACAGCTGGCCGTGCCGCCTTTCCGGTTAGATTCTTCTCAGTAAATGGCCGGGAAACTTTTATTCGTCTCAACGTTTCAGTGACCATCGAGTTTACTTGGACCTTTCCCTGCTTCAATAGCACCGTGTGGCAGGTTGCGCCGAATAATCATAAGGGCGACGAGCAGCAATTGATAACACTTGGCGGAACACAAGGGAAGCCGGGGTGCAACAACATCCGAAGCTATTTTAAGATTGAATGGGCCCCTGGAGACGTATACCGCATTTCTTATGACCCTGACGACGTCTGCGACATCCCGGTGCAATCCTATTCCGTCGGCCCCGGCACCGTCTATGCAAATGGAGCTCAGCCTTTGGCACTGGTCGATGCGGCTCCAATGTCAGTGCAATTCCAGCCAGCCAATATTTTTTGAGACGATGATTAATTACACACACACATATATATATATATATATCTACATGAAGCATATATAGTAATGGCAGAAATATATAAATGATATAATATATATGGGGAAAATTAAAAAATGTGTGTGAAATATTTGAAGGAAGAATGCTGTGGGTCGCACCTGGCTGCTTCTGCAGCTTCATGTATTTAAAAATAAAGTTATATTATGATGAGTGATTCTACTACTACAATTATATTTAGTATGATATTATCCGCTTTAAACTGAACTCGAGTATGCACAATTTACTTTTAGACTTTTTCCAAAAAGCCTTATACTTGTGGACATGAAACTTATGGATTCTTCTTTACATTTTCCAACGTGAGACTTATTTTGTACCAACAATATAGAAATGTTATTGTTTCGTAAGGGATGGCCTGATGGTTTTTTGAGTGCTCAAACAGTTGTTTAATAAATTAAAAGTTTTTCAAAAAATTGTTTCTCGAACAACTTCTTAATCAGGGCGCAATATATTGAATAAATTCAAATAGTTTATGAAATTTTTGCTCAATTCCCACTTTTCTATTTATAGTTGTTAAGTTTCAGTGTTGCATGTTATTATAATAACACGTCCTGAACTTAGTCATTCTCTTTCAAGTATAGGAGCTATGAGGACAAACAACTCCTTACTATAGATAGGGCCTTGGCTCTTGCGGGTTACTAATAATAATAATAAGGGCGTGTTTTTTTTTTTTTTTTTCCAATAAAATCAGGGGCAGAATACACTCTATAAATTTAAATAATAATAATCTAATCTAAATAATTAAAAAGTAATTTGAATTATAAATTAAATATCAAAAATATTTCAGCATTAACCAATTGAATAGCTATAGGGTGTAGGGTGTGTTTCTTTAATTTTGGTGAGAATATTTTATTTAAGTTCAGTATATTTAACTAATATTTACTATGATGTCTTCTAAAAAGAATAAATCAATTTGTTTTTCGAAATACACAGAGCCTCTGTAGTAAAATTGGAATTGAAAAGCCAAAAAACACCAATGTCTTCAAACTTATCATCAATTTTGATCTTTGTGGCTTCTTTATGTTCATAACAAAGCTCTTTCAACAATTTTTTATGGCATATAGCATTACAAGTGTTAGATATAACGGCAACATATTATGATTCACAAGCAGAGAGCATAACAATTAGTTGTTTGATCTAAGTGGTGAGGAGATATTTAAAAACAATCTTAGGAACTATGTATATGCATTTGTGGATTATAATTGCAGTTTTTCTAAAGTTTAATATAATTGAGAATTCTCAACATGCAATCAAATCCTCAAATGTTTCCTTTTTAGAAAATTGGTCAACATTCATATAGATTGATGATCAAGTAAGAAAAAGTTTGGTGTCGAATTTTGTAATCAACAAATTAATAGAATGAAACATGTAATTAATCACCGAGCGGGAAAATGAGTTCGATTTTGCTATCATTTTTATTTGGCTAGGCGTTTCTTTCTAGTTGTTCAAAACTATTATATTTATAGGTTAATTGTTAGGACTCTCTCATTTTATACTCTCCCAATAGGGTAAAAGTGATACTTTTGAAAATTCGACCAATTAATGAGTAGACGATCCTATGTTACATTATACTTCATGGGTTCTAGGCCGTTAATTGATCGAACTAAACCATCAGAAGTTGTTACAAAGTACCCATTCTTGTTTTGACATATGTTACTAACTTTTCAGGTTATCAGAACTCGAGGATAACCCAAAAAATGGAATGTTGCATACTGTTGCTAAAGACTTTCTATATGGTCTGTTTGTGCCCGTTTTGCACATGTTTTGTTTTGATATGAGTTGTCAAATGTGAATATTCAGGATAAAACAAAATAATGTTGTAGGTTTGTGGTGGCGCATTTAATCCAAACACTGCAAAAAGACAGTGTGTTTGTTTGTATAAGCACACCGTGAAATAGTCTCGTGAGAACAAGAGAAAAGTGTGTCTCAATCTAGAGAGAGAAATAGTGTGTTGTCTAAAAAAAAAAAAAGAACTCTCATGGCAATTTGAAGCTCATTTGAAGAAGGAAGAAATTGATTTTCAATAGGAGAAGATCAATTTGTACCCGCTTACTCTCAGTTAGACCGGTAGTATTCTAGGATTAGAACTACCGTTTAATCCCTAGTTTCTTGTACATCGCATGTAAAGAATACTGTAGGAGATGATAACTTTGGGTTCTTGTTTGTTGAGTCATTGAGTTTCTTGTATACCTGGTGAAAAGTTTAATGGACGTCTCCTGAATTGGAATCCCCCAGGTGTAGGTAGTTACACCGAATTAGATTAACAAATCTTGTGTGTTGTTTGTTTTATGTTTGATCTTGGCCAGCCATAGACAACTATATGTGATACACACAAGAGTTATAACCATGAAACAATACCATGTGTTTCCAAAGTGCGAACTCCTTGTGATTTTCTATTTCCGCTGCCATTAGACTCGAAGGAGTTGGCGTCTTACGTGTACGTGCTTCAGTCCACTGTTGCATTTTACCCAACAGAAGTGTATAAAAATAAATTAATGTACATTAAAAGTTGAAGGATAAAGATATTTTCGGACACTATAAATCATCTTGCTACACAATATCATCTTTCATGGCTCCAGTAAATGCTTGGCAGCCCCTTCCTTGATTTGATTCATTTATGCATAAATTTAACAACAGTTTAATTAGCATTTTGTGTCACTGTCGACGATCGAATCGCTTAATTTCATTTCCATGTTTTGGGGGTAATCGTGAGAAGTTACGGTAACTATGGACCTTGTTTCTAAAGAACATACAAACAAGAATTTATAAAACCTGAGTAAGAAAGAAGAATTATTCAGTAACTTTGAGATGGTTTGTTTTTATCTCTTGCTGAGTACATATCAGCTATAGTTGATTATTACTATTATTATTATTATTATTACTATTATTATTCTTCAACTATGATACGAAATAAATACTACTAGAAAATGTGAGTGATACATGCAATGCATGCAAACTTTCCTTTGTTTTTATACACTTTCAGAAATTTTGACATTGTTTATTAATTAGATTGTGAGGATGAATCCTATGCTGATGTTTAATATTAATTCAGTATATGCTGAATTTATCTTAATTATTTATTTTATAACCTAATAATTTAGATAAAATTAAATAACATCAAAATCAATGATTCTAATAAAATTCAGCAATGCTGAATTCTCAATTTCAACATGCCATTCTCACTGTCATATTTTTTAAAAGCTAAATTACATTATATACTTATTTTATTTTATCAGAAAAAATCATATCAAATATAAAATATTTTACTATTTTAAAAAAATTTCAAAACTTAAAAAACGTCTAGGCGATTGTAAATGGAGATAATTTGCAAAGTGGCTATCTTTTTCGGAGATTGGACTAATGGTGTCGCTTTCATTCTATAATGCCGCAGTTCCGATGCAAGTAGTAAACTATCAACAATTTTATTCTTATTTTCTTTTGTGTCGGTTTAATAATTACTTCTGTAAAGAAATATTAATTTTTGTTGAATTTAAGTTACACAGCTTCTAATGATTTGCAATAGTGATGGAAATGGGTACGGGTATACTTAGACCTGACAACCACGCATTCATCTATTTGGGTCGGATCTAATTATTTGGGCCAAGTATTTTGTACCATAATCGGATCCTATACTGGGTATCCATAACCTCAGAGTTACAAATTCATTTCCTACGGACCATCAGACCATCGCTTACGGGATATAAATGAATATATCATTTGGTAATATTGTGTATTGTTTGTTACCAAAATATTTTGATTCAAGAGTTGTAATTATTTCTAGAAAAGATCATATTACATACATATTATATCTTTAAAATATCAGATTTAAAATTTATTTTATGAACTAAACGTTGCATATAACATCTATTTATATCACATAAATAAGTATTTTTTATTATAAATTTGTAATATTTTCAAATCTGGTCAATATTTTAATTTAATAAGATCGAATATAATTCAAATTCATTCATAACCCCATTTGGTTTGAAGAATTGTGCACGACATGTATAGTCTGATCAATACATTTAAAAGCTGCTCAATCAATCGAATAGCTTAGCACCTACTCATCTATAAGAGTTGTCTTAACACGGGCCGAACTCAACTCTCAGGTATTATATAATTACAAATACTTCATGTAACCAAGCAATGAATTTTAATTATAGAATTTAAATACAAAGTAATTTAAATTCATTCATTTGAAGTCTAACCAAACACAGCATTTATTCCCAAATCAAATTCCTCAAAGCAAACGAGCATAAGTAAACATTTCTTAGGGTATATTTGTTTTTGGGTTTGAGTTTTTGGGTTTGGATCGATAGAATAGTAAAAAGTTGAATTTGAATAATTGTTTGATGTGATGTTTTGAATGTAGAATAAATCTGTAGTATAATATAAAAAATATATATAATTATTTGATTTGATATTTTTTAAGAAAAAAAAAATTCTGAATATTATCCGTAAAATTCACAAAGAACACAACCTTAATACTTCAATTTGACACAGTACACAAGAATGACTAACTCTCTCAACTATAAAAACACACCACACCATTCTCTCTTCTCATCATCATCATCAACATCAACCTTCCATAATTCTCTTAACAATAACCCTAAAATCTATCAATGGGGATGGTGAAGACTCTCTTCTCCATTAATGCTTTCTTCTTATCTTCTATTATCATCTTCATCATCGCCTTTTGTCCCTCAGCCTTTGCAGATCCACCACCATATCCGCAAGATGCAGTGATCGACATATACGGGCAAAGCCTCCGACCCGGAAGAGGTTACTTTATATACGATATCATCAGCAACTACGCCATTGTACCCAGCACTGCAGGCCCCGATGGATGCCCCATTTATGTCGCCATAAGCTCATCTTCTTCCATCGCCTCTCCAGTGAGCTTTCTCTCAGCAAAAGGCCGCGAAGGTACCATTCGTCTCGATGTTTCTGTCACCATCCAGTATACTAACCCCCCGCCCTGCGTCAATAGCTCCTTGTGGCAGGTTGCGCCGCCGGACAAAAATAAAGGCGGGCAGCAATTAGTAACACTTGGTGGAGAACAAGGGAAGCCGGGTTGCGATACCATCAGAACCTGGTTTAAGATCAGAAAGGTACAGAGATATCAGGAAAGGAACATCTACAACCTTGTCTATGACCCTAACGATGTCTGCGACGTCGCCGTGCAAACCTATGGCGTCGGCTACGGCGACAGCAGAAATGAAGTGCAGCTTTTGGCACTTGTTGATGTGAGTCCAATTCCAGTGGTATTCCAGCCGGTCAATTGAGACTAATACTTACATTTACATATATATGCATATCCATCTACAGATGCAGCGTAATAGTGACAGCAATATATATATATATATATATATACATATAGTTGAGCAGATATGGGGCAAATTGAGAAGTATGTAATATATTTGGATAAAGGATGTGGTGGCTGGTGCATTTCTGCTTCATACATAAAGAAATACATATTATGGTGTATGATTCTACTGTATATTATATTCATTCATAATTAATTACAACTAGAAAATTGGTGTAAAGCCGCAAAAATAAAAAACAAAAAAATTCCATTCTATAAGTTGTGATTCTTCAAAAATAATAATAATAAAAAACATAAAATATTTTATACATAAGTAAAAAATAACTTCAATAATTTGTTGGTAGATTCAATTGAAATTAAATCTTTATTTTTATGTTTTTATTTTTGTTGTTTTGTTTCAATACTTTGAAATAATTCTATTTTATTTTATACTCCCTCTCTCCCGTGACAAAATATCTATTTTTCCATTTTAGTCCGTCTCGTAACAAAGTATATTACTAACATTACAAATACCCTTACAATTTATAATATATTACACGAATGTCATTACCTTTATATCACAATGTTATTTTAGTCATTTTTGCTTTATTCATACTATATCCCAATATAATACTAATATTTTTAAAATTATGTAAAAAAAAACAAATAGATACTTCTTTTTGGAACGGAAGGAATACTGTTAATATAAATTAATGCAAATAATAATAATAATAATAATAATAATAATAATAATAACTTAAATAAATATATATATAATAAGAAAAATATTAATGAAGAGAGAGGAGAGAGAAAATTCATAACTATTCACTAATCATATCATATATATATATATATATATAAAAGAGCTCAAAATTGGACCTATATTTTTTGTAAAATTCTATAATCCTTTTAGTTTTTTTTTTTAATTATTTTTGTAAAATTCTATAATCCTTTTAGTTTTTTTTTTTTTTAATTATAACATATTAATTTTTATTTTTAGATTTAGATTTAGAGTTTATTGTTTTTTTTTTAATTATCAAAATAAATGATAGAGGGTGTAAATGATCGTTTTGAAATAGTGGGATGGTGGTTTCAATGTTAGTAGAGGAAAGGGTAATGCGACTAAATGGTGAGAATATTACAATGAATTGTTGGTTTTTTGATAAATTTTTTTATTGATAATATTGAATTGTTTTGTTATTTTCTTTATTAATAATATTATATATATATATTTATAGTTCGTAGATTTTTTTGACTTTTTCTAAATATTGTGTTTTTTTGAGCAGCCATAAAATTTGAATCTCTCAAATACTTTTTTATAATAAATTTTTTATTGATAATATTTTTTTATTGATAATATTGAGTTGTTTTGTTATTATTCTTTATATATAATATTATATATATAATTTTTAGATTTTTTGGTTTTTTCTAAATTATTTATTTTGTTGTGTTTTTTCTGCGCACCCATAAAGTTGGGATCTAAATAAGCCTTAACATCTACCTTCTAAAATATCAGAAGTTATTTGCTGGAGGGTAAAACTGAACAATTTTTAGATTTTTCTTTCTTACTTTTTAAATTGTTTGTTTTTTGGCGTTGTTTTTGCATGCATAAAGTTGAGATCTGAAAAGGACTTTCTTCTAAACAATTATTTTATTAAACATTATTCTCAATTGATTATAATTTATATTAAACTATATTTTATTTTAATTTTTATTCTTTTAGTGGTTTTCAATATTAGCGGATAATAGGTAAATTGAAATTTATTATTTTATATCTTTATCGGATCAAATTGACTATTATCATCGATGCACTTACACTACATCTAATATTCTTTTCTTTGATTTATTTACAGGATCATCATGGTAAAAAAAAGAGGACAGATAAAAAGTTAGGATCCGAAGAGACTGTCTAAACATCAAAGCTGTTTGCCGAATGATTTGTTACTATTTTTTTTGTTCGAGTGATAGATTGGAATTTTTGTTTGTTTGATTATTCTTCTAAATTTTGTTTAGATTTTTTATTTATTTCCAATCTTTTTTTCACGATGTCGGATGCTAAAAATTATTCGTCAAAATTGTCAAATTGAAAGGAAAAATAACAAAAAAAGAAAGAAAATGTATAAAGATTCAATTGATTATAATTGTAAATTAAGTTGGTATTATTATTTTTCCTTTTTTTTTTCTATGTTAACTGTACAAATTTTGTTGCAATGATATTGTAATTAAATTTTTATATTATTGGGAGATTGATTTTACAATAGATTATCCAGTTTTTTTTGTAAATTATAAATTGATAGTTTAAATATTTCTTTCATTATATTAAAATATAAAATTTTATTTTCTACCAAATTTAATTCATATTATATATTTTATTGAAAAAAAATAGTATTTAAACTATTTAAATACATATTTTATTTTATTTTTAATTATATAGTATATTAATTTTTATTTTAAAAACATTAATATCATCACAAGAAAAAAAAATGCAGTTCTCAAGTTATAATATAAAAAATATAATATTTTTTTAGTAATTATCAATGATATAATATTTATATTTTATATTCATTTACAGTGTTATATATAATTATATTTTAGAAAGTATAATTGTGTTTTTACACAACTTAATTTATATTACATATTTTATTCCAAATATATAAAGCAAATCATATTTTTTATTATTAGATATTTATTTGAATTTTTAAAATTTATTTTAAATAATATTATTTTTCTTAAAAAAATTATTTCTTTGTTATTTATTTTATTATTACTATTTTATTATAAAATATTATGATTATTAATAAATATAAAATTAATAAAAAAATTATAATAATATATTTTGAAATAAATAATATAATGTAATATTTTTTTTTATTAATGGCACTGTGCGCATGGGTCTTCCCGCTAGTTACTCTCTACTTGATAATTAAATTATATTTGATGTTGATTAGTAAAAATTAAGAATATATTTTACAAAATTATATTAGAGGGACATAATTTGAAAAGTCCGTGAAATGTAGTGATATAACTTGAGAATACCCCAATTTTTGTCCTATGTATACTATCTAGCTGTTGAGGGAGTATTTACTATTCCGATAAAGTAAAACTAAATGTAAAAACTAATTTTTTTTTATTTCTAGTATATATATATACATATTTTGTAGATATTCTAATGTGTAATTTGTTACAATACATAAAAGAAAAAGAATATAAAAAATGATAAGTAATCTATTGTTTTTATTTATTTATTTTCTTGCTGAGTATAACTTGATTTGCATATTTGTTTTGGATGTATTATACAATTTTATAATTTTGAATTAGTATTTTGATTATTTAATAATAAATTTATTTGGGTATTTTATGCAAAACACTAGACTCGCATTTATTATGTAGATAATAATTTTATCAATTTATATTTAATTTACATTAAAATTAAAATTAAAAATTTATTCATTTTTATTTTTCTTAAATATTTAAATATTAAAACTAACATTTAAATATACATATATGTTTGTGTAAAATATACACATTATTTTAAAATAGTAATAATTTATACTTTATTAATTATTTTTTAAATATTTTAATTATATACACGTGCATAGCACGGGTTTATCGTTGGTTTAAGTTATACAACTCTTAATGACTCGCAATCTTGTCTGCTGGCTTAATCAAACTTTAATACATGAAGAAAACTGCAACAGTAGGAACTAGAAACATAAATATAGGAAAACTATTTTATTAATCCCACACATCATACCTTTTATCACACTATAATAAAATATCATTTTTATAATGAAATTTTTTCGTCATTAAATTCACTTTTTTCGTTACTAATGATATTAGAGACGGAATTAATGATGGAATTACGTTAGCTATGTGATATTTAGTAACGGAATTCCGTTACAAATATACTATTTTTTTTTAGTGTCATTTTACAATCATAAATAGTGATGGAAATGGGTCCGGGTATAATGAGACTTGACCGGGTTCTGATATATTTATTTAGGATCGAATCTAATTATTCGGGTAAGATATTGTATATCCTAATTAAGTTTGGATTGAGTCTAGGGTCTAAGGTGAATCCTACTTAGACAATGCAAAAATAAAAAAAATTAGACAAATTACAAAGAAATTGAATTAATTATATATAGAAGTGTAGATCAAATCCTAGCATTTGACTCCAAATACGCCTAGCAAAATTTCCATACAACTCATCGAAGTAGCAAACAAACCAAGTCTAACTCGAACTTGGGCATAACGACACATCAATGACCCGATCCGGATCCATTTAATATATTAATAATATAGCAATCATATGTATGAAAAGAACATAATTTATAATAATATAACTATATTAAAAGTATTTTTTAAAGTTTGATTTGTTTATTTTATTATAATTTTTTTTATTAAAATAGATAAATATAATTTAATATTTGTCGGTTCAGATCCAATTTTAAGTTAAAGTTTGATGAATTGTATAAATATTTCAGGTCCATCGGGTCTTATTGGCTATAAATCGAAACAGGTTTGGGTATGATCGGGTCCGAGTATAGTCAGATCCAAATTGGATCTCCGGTTCAACAATATGTATTCACGTCGGGTCTATGCACGATCGATTGTCATCCCTCAGCACAAATTAAATATAAAAATAGCACATGACTCTATTTCACACCGCACATGTTGTGTGAAATAAAAACATGTATTATATGTCTATACTTTAAAGTATAGCATATATGAATATATCATTTGTTAAAATAATTGTTACATATGATATGTGAAACTATATAACGTGAGATTTTATTTGTTCATGAGCTATATTTGTATTATATTGATATAGTATTGTATTGCCCATAGTAATTTCATTTGTTATCTGTTAAGTATTTTCATTTCAAGAAATATTTATTTCAAGAAAAGATCAAATTACATACATATAATATCTTTAAAAATCAGATTGAAAACTTATTCTATGAGCAAAACATTGCA